CAATCATACGTGATCATGCCGGGTGGTCGCTTACCAGAAACAGAAAACAAAAGAATATGTCAAATTTCTGGCCCAAAAAGTGGTCGCGGTCGTTTAAGAAATTTACGTAGTGGTCGCTTACGAGAGAGTTTTTGAAACAGTGTTTGCCTGAGAAACTAAACGGTTATTTTTAAAGTGGTCGCTTACGGGAGGTGGTCGCTTACGAGAAGTGGTCGCTATGAGAGAGTTGACTGTACTCATAACCAATGGTTAAGGAGTGCGCGCGTCAAGGATCGTACCAGAATGTTTGTACTGTATGTGACTGAAGCAGAGTGTTCTTCATTCAACTAAGGTAGATACATAAATAGAAAGTGATCGCGAAAATTACACATTTGCCCAAAAGTGACTAAGATGGGGTCTACGATTGGCCACGGAATGGATTATAATGGGGTAGGGGCTCTGAGAGGCCAGCTGCACATACCCAGCAAAAATTAACTCAAGTAACCGCCCCTCCCCCCGCGCCCCCCGAGGACCCGCGTGTACAAATCCTGGCATGGACGCCGTATGTGGGTTGAGTTTTTTTCTCCTGGTACTCCGGTTTTCCCCTCTCCTGAGTCAAAAAACCAAGACTTCCAAATTCCAATTCGATCAAGAAACCGGCGAACGGACATGTTTAAACGAGCTCTTATTATTCTCTCGTGAGTAAACAAATTTTCTTTACACTTTTTTTTCGACATTTTGTAATAATATTCAAACTAAAATTGTATCACGAAGAACGTGCTGAGCTGTCCGGTTTGATTGACATTTATTGATATTGTTGTTGTTTTATAAATGGGAAAACACGTACATCAGTGCAAACAAGACAGCTCGACTTTTAGGGTGAAATTAGTTAACTTATCAATTCTTCCAAAAACAATATCTCGATTATTTTAAAAGACAGTCACTCTTAATTTTCGTGTCTTCCGCTTCGACGTCACATGTACGTGTTCTCACGTACAATATGCAAATTCTGCACTCGTACCTCGAAAACTGATACAACTGGTCACAAGGCTTATCAGCTGTCCTCATTTCAAGCTGATCGATCTTTTCTCTTTGTGCCGAGTTCGCTATAGACTGATCATTATATGCAGCTCAGTGAACACCAGATTGTGAGTACAGACTTTTCTTCGTTCGAATAAGAGCACATGGCTTGTTCATTGCTATCTATGCCTCTCAACAAAGTTAACAACTGGTTAATAACAACAACAAGACTTTACTCATTAACAACTGTTAGTTTTCTAAATCCTTTTAGACTGTATGTTCTGTTCTGTTCTGTGCTGTTTTTTTTTTCGTTACTGTAATGTTGTTGTTTTTTGTTCCACAAGAAGTCGTATTTAAGTATTTTTCAGGCGATTTGGCAAATATCTCTTAATGAAACACTTCTTCTATATATCTTAGCCGATTACAAGACATCTAACAACTAAATTAAAATTCCTTATGATCGTAGCAACAACGCGACCATAATATGAATTCCTGATGGATAAAATCAACTAAGTGACGTTGTATGCTGACCCAAACTGTTTTAGGGAGAGTAAAACGCAAACCGATGAGCTAAGTAACAGTTTGTGTTGGACGTCATCCCGCAATAATTTTCTCTGCTATTGTTAGGGGGAAAATGTAGATTTCATTGGGTTTTCAATTTATTTCATGGCACGTGGACTACAAAATTATAAAATAGGATTTCAACTGTTTTGAATAAGTTTTTGCTTAAGTCTGTGCAAACAGGAATCTTTATTCTCTGTGATTGTAACCGAGATTGTTTACTCATGTATATAATTATTGGAACAGTGTGCCTTAGGAAATTTCTGTACGCATATTATATGACCTTCGAAATTGAATTTTCTGGAAATAGATATACAGCTTAGTCACTGAATAACTAGACCTTTCGTCTGATCAAATACCAACCGTTCGTAGTTTTTAGTTTTGACATTTTGAGGGATCCTGAGCAAAGGGAGGGTCGTGAAGGGGGGTACCAAATCCCAGTTCCCAGCTTAAATTTGGCCCAAATCCCAGTTCCCAGGCTAATTTTTGCCATTATCCCAGTTACCAAATCTAAAATCCCATTACTAATGATTATTTGCAAAATCATGCACATAATAAATTAAAAGCACTGATTGACGCTATTTGGATACACGTATCTTCACCTGGACTGAAGAAAATCTCTCATTCTGCTGGTGAACACTCTTTCTCTTCCAGCCCTTGTTGACATAACCATATGAAAACCAATTCTATCATCTGCACAATCCTCGTCTGACTCACTGTCTCCGCTTTCACTGCTAGCTGGTAGCTAGACCACTGGCGCGAAGGCGAAAAATACTGATTTCACGGTCTCTACTGAGGAGTGCAAGGTCTATTGCTACGAAATTTTATTTTTCTATTTCAAAATATTGGAGCAAAGACCGCTGAAGAAAAGAAATCCCATTCCCATTTTATAATTGTTCATCCCATTCCCAGTGGCTAAATCCCAGTCCCAGTGAGTAAACCCCATTTTCCCAGTCCACAATAAGGCTAATCCCAGTTCCCATTTTACCCCTTCACGACCCTCCAAAGGAAACTCGAATTATTTTACACAGCTTTCTTTGTAAACTTCCTAAATTCAGTTGCTTGACTGACATTTAATTTGAGCTATTTAGTTTAGCATATGAAGTTTTAAACTGAGTTTGTCCAGATTTGTTTTCGCTGTTCAGCTGATGTTATTCAGCCTTCTTTCCTTTTGTTTTGTGATGTTGTAGTGGGTTGATCGGTTGTTATAAATAGAGCACTGATTATTCCTGTTTTTCGATTTTACATTGCGGATTTAATTGATTGTACAAGTTACGTTAACGAGCGGAAGATTAAACTGTTGAAGTCCAAGCTTGAGTCCTGTACTGTTTCCAGTTGTAGCAGATCCGGTACCTTGGAATTGTGACGAGTTCCTTTCCCGCTTGCCAAGCGAGTTGCGAGTTAGTTTTCCCCCTTGTTGTTCTTACGCCGAAGTCTCTCTAGTTCTCTTTACGCTCAATTCCCCGATTCGTTGCTGGAAGGGCAAAACCTATCGTCACACTATTTACACTGTTAGTATTAGGCGCCTGGAAATAGATTTTTGTTCATCAGATGGGGTACCGGTGCGTTTGAACAGTTTGTGAGTTTGATTGCCGAAATCATTTTTTAAGGGTAATGACATCGAAAATCACGTAGCAGTGAAAATAATGGTTAACTATACAACTTCACGTTCAGCAATAACTGGTCAGACTTCCACAATGTAGGTGTGGAAAGCGTATTTTGTCCCCGTGCCTCTACTGGCAAGCGTTTCTACATCGTGCTAAGGGTGGATTTCCACTGTCGCGTAATATTTACGTGCGTACGCATATAAAATTTAAGCGCGTAAATAAAATAGAAGCGATGTATGGAACTTATCACGCGTAAACGTTTAAAGTTGAACCTCGCTCAACTTTTACGTTTACGCACGGCCTTCCATACATCGCTTCTATTTTCAGGGGCACCCAACGAGAATGTAGTTCAAAACCACGTAAACGTGGCATTTTTGAACGTATTTTAGTATTTAAACGGTAGATAAAGGCTTATTTTTATCCCCTAAAAATTTTTCATCTGTTCGGATTTCCTAGCTGAGAGTCTATTGATCCGAAAATTATAGGGATCAAACCTTACCTTTTCGAAAATTTCAGCCAGAAAAAAGGCTTCCGAAAATTCTAGGTGACCTTTTTAGGGTAAAAATCCGTTCAAAATGGGCAATTATACCATTTTTTATATGTTCGAAAATCCTAGGAGAGGCAGGCAAGCAACAAATCTTACAAAAAATGATCCGAAAATTCTAGATCTCAAATTGTCTTCCGAACAGATATTTTTCCGAAAATTGTCGTTGGGTGCCCCTGTATTTTACTTACGCGAGTAAAATTTACATGCGTTCGCACGGAAAAATTACGTGACAGTGGAAATCAGATGAACATACCCCGCTTAGAGCCTTCTTTTTACGGTCAATACGACAAGTAAGCTTTCCTTAGATCTTTTCATTCACAGAAAACTGTTTAAAAGCTTATGTATTTTTAAACACGAGGCCATACATCGTACGAGTCACTAGCTAGACTGCGAACAGCAGACGTATTTCCGGTCGTCGCTTCTCTCCCTCCGTGGAAGGATATGAAGAGTTAAAAACGTAAACTTACGAAAGGCTTCAGTTTTCGGAAAACAAATTTCTAGATGCCTTTTTACCCATCAATTCAACTGTTAAAACTTTGACCATTCCTGGTGGAGGCTGTCATTTGTAGGCGGAAACAGGGAGCGCGGACAAGTTCAAGAGGAAAAGCCCCTCAAATTTTTGCATGTAAATTATTAGCAAGTAATCATATGATTTTTCTCGTGTATTAAATTTAGGATAAATCAGCACTTGCAAATTTTTCAAAGACCACAAATTTGGTTTGTCTTTGAATAATTTAGTTGTGCTGATTTATCCCAAACTGCATTCGAAATCACGTGATTACCTATACAAACACGCTGAATAATTTCCCTGTCACCTGTCACAGTTTGATTACGCATTATCCGCTAATAAGCATATGAAGAAGAAGAAGAAGAATAAAATTTATTACAAAACAAACAACCCTTTCATAAATAGCGATCACATCCAACACACTGCCTACTACATAACAACTTTACCCACGCAGCTGGTTCAGTCTCGAAGAGAATGGTTTATAATTAGCCCTCTAGCTACCTCGGTGATAGCTTTGGTTACTTATTGGCGATACGTGGTAGGTGGTATTTAGCATAAATTACCGACTATTATTTCCAAGAAAAGCTGTTCTTATTGTGTCATCTTGTTTGCAGAAGTTGTGGGGCAAAGACCAGACCTTCTTGTCATGTTCCCTCTAAACGGCAGCGAGTACCAAACAGTCTTGAACCTGTCTTCGACCCCAAACGAGACTTGCGTAAACTCTGCGGAGAGTTCGACGCTAGCCCAGTGTATTAAAACATTCGCATATTCTCTGATTATGTTCTTGTCGCTGTTTGGGAACTTAGCTGTTATCGCGATTGTATCAAAGAACAATCAAATGTGGACAACAACGAACTTTCTGATTGCCAATATGGCTGCATCAGATTTAATGATCACTGCGTTTGCATTACCACGAGAAGTAGCGGAAGTCTTCATCGGCCCTAGAAGATGGCTGTTAAAAGGAATAGTGGGACAGATTCTTTGTAAGCTGGTTTTCTTCCTTCAAGACCTTTCCACCGCAGTATCCATGCACAGCCTTGTGGTTATAGCCATCGACAGGTATCGAGGGATAGTTTTTCCTTTCCGCTCTCCTGTTATTACAACCAAGAATTGCAAGGTAATAATTCCCATAATTTGGGTGGTGGCCATGGGTTTACACGGAATGTATTTCTATACCTCGCAACTGACGATGAGCGAAAGCAAGTGGTACTGCACGATAAGCTGGGCACCCAAGTTTGAGGAAAAGACACAAGTGATATATTTTACTTTTCTTTCGGTCGTGATAATTTTTTTACCTCTCTGTGTGATTCTCACATTGTACACACTCATCCTGATAGAACTAAGGAAAAGAAAGGTATCTAAAAACAACGCATTAGAATTGAGAAGCCGACGGCGCAAAGAAGACACAGCCATCATGAAAAGGATTCTGATTTTAGTTCTTCTTTTCCTTTTGTGCATAACTCCAGTTATCGTCTCGGGACTTGTCTTTCATTTCATATGGGACTCACGCCTTCCTTGTGTCATGGAACATCTTTTTCCTGTTACAAAGTTTGTTTTTTATTCAAACGCATCGCTAAACCCGTGGGTTTACATTGTTTTAAGTGAGAGATATCGCCAGGGAATGAAAGAATTAGCCAAAAATTTTACTTGCAAAGATAAAATCGAGCTGAAACGAGCGAGTAATCTGTCATTAAGGAAGACCGACAAGAAACCGAAGTCTGCTGTAAATTTTGTAAGGATCAGCAGTTTGTAAATCTGAAAAGGTAAGCTTCCTGAGGTTGTAAACGGGTGTGATCACCAGATGAAGTAATACAAAAGAACACCAAACAATACGCACACCAATATATCAAGGGCACTCAACGACGGTTTCCCCCTAAATACATTGAAAACACTTTTTATACTGTCCAGAGTACTTTTAGATCAGATACCTTGCTTGTATGAAAATTCGCGTCGTACTCATTTTCGCTCAGCTTTAAATTCGCGCGATTTAATTTCGCTCACCTTGTTACGACTTATTCGCGAAGCGTTAAATTCGTGCAAGCAATGTTCCGTGTTCTTTCTTTTTGGTTTGTTTGATAAAGCATTTATACTGAGTATTTTTTATCAACAAATACTACAATATTTGTCGATGATATATGAAGTAAATCATATATGAACTGCGGAAATGAAATGAAAATGATGAAATGATCGTCGCAGTGAACGCAATTTATGCAATTGCGTAATGAAGCCTGAAAAAAATTCAGGACTTCAACGGGATTTGAACCCGTGACCTCGCGATTACTAGTGCGATGCTCTACCAACTGAGCTATGAGGCCACTGACGTTGAGAGCGGGTCAATTGTGGGTTCATATGTTCCCGTGAAAGAAATGCGTGTTAATGATATATGAAATAAATGATATATGAACTGCGGAAATGAAAATATAAATAAACTAGTAATAGTTGACACTACAGCTGCCCCCGTTCTTTATATTGTCGGTCAATAGTATTCCTGCTGGTTGTGTAGCTCTTTGAATTATACCGATTAATAATAAAGATTTTCACACATATTCCATACAATAGGTGAGATAAATACAGGAAACGCAAGGTTCCATGCACAGTTTCAGCTCGATTTACACAGCTTTAATCAAAACATTCTCGGTTTCGAGAATAGTTTATTCTAAACCATAACAAAAGATTTAATTAAAAGTTGAATTTTTCGCTATTTCTCTTTCACTTTATACATTCAGTTCATTTTATTTGCCGGAAAGTAAGCCTTAGAAAGCGCATAGCGCATTCTAGTCTTATTTGAAACTTTATAACGGAAGAATATCTGTGAGCAGGGAATAAGTCAGCACAGAATTTGATTGTCGAAGAATTTCTGTAAATGTCCATCAATCTGCTAGTGAGAAGCTAGCCGTTGTTCACTCGTCTTGCTTGTTTGGGGCTGAGTCTTATTCCGAGAGAGAGAGAGAAAGAGTGTCTGGCAAGGTTTCCAATATAAATCAAAGATTTGTGAACTCGTGTCTGGCAAACTCTCTAAGTGTTTATATATACACAGTTAAACGCACCTTATAACCTTCCCTGCGCTTAACGAGTGTCTTTTGGTCCATAACTTTCAAAACAACTGCTCCACACAATGTCACTGCGTAACGCAAAAGAGTATCGAAGTCAGACTGCACAATAAATGTCACAAAATCTACCTGAGCGGTCCCTTCGGGGTTTTCTGTCTTTACGTCATCCTAACCATTTCGTACTTGCGGGCGCAAACAATAGAAACGTCATCATTACCTACCGATTCCTCGCGGCCCCAGTTCGAGCAAATCGAGATTTTTTCTAGTATACTGACTGTATATTTGAACTGTAAGTACTGTCCTTAATATACGCGCGAGTTACTAGGGTACATGAATGGAACGGGCATCTACAGTGTAGAAATTTTTAGCCGTCATAAACGAATAGAAAATTCTAGGTCATGTTTGCTTTGATTCCGAACAGATATTTTACAGAAATCAGTCGTTGGGTGCCCCTGATATATCCACAACACTAAGAGACACCTCTAAAAAGCTACTGCTGATATTCCTGGATATATTTAGTAAAGAACACACACAATTCAACCGCGAATAGCATAGTACAGCATAAATTTGTGAAGCGCGGAAAGGAATTGCCTGACGATGGAAAGAATTGCAATTTTATGAAGTAAGTGTTATGTGTAATCAAATAGCCGATTAGAATTTCGTCCATACGTACGGCAAGTGTAAGTCGAGTGTACCATTTGATTACCTGTTTTATAGTATCATAGAGGCCTTGTAGTTAACATTACCGTGCAAGTAAAGCGTAGCTGGCTCGTAAGAAGTGCTCCTGTTCAGAATTGGGTTGAGAACCCTAATTTGCTGCTTTGCCCGCACGAGAAGGATTTAAACGTAATGCTTTTCCGGCGCAGGCCAGATTAAAATTAAAATTAATTGCTCTGAGGCCTGGTTCAGACGCCGTACTTTTCATGAGCCGAACCTAATACATTGAATTAAGTACATGAAAAGTTCGGCGTCTGAATCAATTAGGAACGCCTGTTTCAATTTGGAACGGCTCAGCCGTTCTTTTCGCCTAGCCCGGCCCGGAATGTCGCCTTTGGATCGACTTAGGAACGCCTTTGATTCAGACGCCGAACTTTTCATGTACCGAACCAAATGCAGAAATTCTTACAACGTATTTTGTAAGCAGTTTGACCGAAATGCGCATTTTTCGCCTTCTGAATTTAGTTCGGCTGGAATTAAGATCGGCGTCTGAATCACTTTTGCCGGTCTAAATAATTTGGGTCGGCCTTAATTCGAATTAGGCTCGGCTCATGAAAAGTTCGGCGTCTGAACCGGGCCTGAGTTATAGAATTCTGTAAACACTAATGAGCGGTGAAAAAACTGCTTCTTCCTCATTCTCCTCGCCGCTTTCCTCTCGCTTCTGGTTTCCTAGCCCTCCGTCGTCCTTCCCCAGCGAACCGCTAGCTACACAGGCAAGCTAGTCCATATTAAACAGCTCGTACTTATATTTTAACAACTAGTTATAACCAAAGGTTACGGAGTGCGGGCGACAAGGATGGAAGGTCAAAACGCTTTTGCTCCAGCGCTGTGCTTTGCATAAGTTTCACGTGACAGATGGTCAAAACACGCGTGTTCAGATTACTAGTGAGTAGAAGGTCTCAATGCGCGTGATCAAATTGAGTTCTGGGCATTCCATTCATGCTTAATGGAAGTGCAAACAAATGCTGGCTACGTACATGCGACGCATGCGTTACAACCTGGAGATTAGGAAAACAGCTTTCGGGCATATCGTATTTTTTATTACTGCATAAGCATGAGAAACTATCTGTCAAATTTTAAGCCTGTTTTTTTTACTAGTGTATAAGCATAAACATAAAGATATAAGCACGCGTAGCTCTCCTCAAGCCAGTGATAAAGAAGATGGTGGGCGCTTCGTCCGCCATATTGTTTTTGATATGTTCGCATGAGGTCTTGGTCAAAGTGGCCTATGATTGGTCTAAAACAAAGCTAAAACATGCTTACCTCCATCGATATTAAGTTCACCTTCCATAGTGCACGATTAGGGTTTTTTAGCTCCGCAAATATACTCCAAATAGCAGATGTCGCCCTTCGAGCTGTGTTCTTGCTGTTCTTGCCATGTCTTTAGCTATAGTTTCGCCTAGTTCTTACTCTTGAAACGAGTGAAATGCCCTCCATTATTTGTTTTCACAAGCAAAACAACTCAACCTCGTCCCCAGGTTTTCTCGGTTAACTGTGCGTTAACCTGCATGAACGCTGCATTTTTTCATTTCCTCGTTAAACACAAAATTCTTCCAAATTTGGTCATCAGTAAGTGGTTATAGTGAATTATGCCTGTGCTTTTAGCCAATCAGAATCGGGGAAATATTTTGAATGAATAATAATGTATATTAACCTCCACCCACTTGTAACCGCTCTGTGGTCAGAGTAAAGCTTGGCTCCTTTGGCTGCTACACACTTTTTTCCTTTGTCATGTTAAATTCAATGTATAGTTAGCTCTGTTGTTACTTCTTTTTTTTTCTTATTGTCGTTTTATTGTTATTGAATAAGTGTGAATAAATGAACTTGAACTTGAAATTGAACTTGTGTTCATTAGCTAATAACGACAACAAGACATTACTCATCAACAACTGTTAGTTTTCTAAATCATTCTGGACTGCTTGTTCTGTTTTTTTATTTTTTTTTTTTAGTACTGTTATTGTTGTTGTTGTTTTTTTTTCAGCAGGAAATCCTCAGTATTTTTAAAGCATTTGTCAAGCGATATGGCAATTATCTCTTAGTGAAACACTTCCTCTATAGATCTTCGCCGACTGCAAGAGATCTAACAACTAATTAAATTGAATTTCCTTAAGATCGTAGCAACAACGCGACCATAAAAAATATGAATTTCACTCATGTCCATCCTGATGGATAATTTCTGCTAACTGACGTTGTATCCTGATCCAAGCTGTTTTAGGGAGAGTAAAACTCAAACCGATGAGCTAAATAACTGTTTATGTTGGACGTCATCCCACCATAATTTTCTCTGCTATTTACACTGTTAGTATTAGGCGCCTGGAAATAGATTTTTGTTAATCAGATGATGTAAATAGCGCGGGGTACCGGTGAGTTTGAACAGTTTGTGAGTTTGAATGCCGAAATCATTTTTTAAGGGGTCATGATATCGAAAATCACGCAGCAGTGAAAATAATGGTTCACTATACAACTTCATGTTCAGCAATAACTGCTCAGACTTCTACAATGTAGGTGTGAAAAGCGTATTTTGTCCCCGTGCCTCTACTGGCAAGCGTTTCTGCATAGGGTGGATTACCACTGTTGCGTAATTTTTTAAAAAATAGAGGCGATGTATGAAAATCGCTGGTAAAAGTTTAAGACAGAATCCACCAGGGGCACCCAACGACAATTTTCGGAAAATATCTGTTCGGAAGACGGTTTGAGATCTAGAATTTTCGGAACATTTGTGGTAAAATCTCTTCTAAAAAATGGTATAATTGCCCATTTTTAACGGTTTTTTACACTAAGAAGATCACCTATAATTTTCGGGAGCCTCTTTTCTGGCTGAAATGTTCGAAAAGGTAAGTTTTGATCACTATAATTTTCGGATAACTAGACTTTCAGCTAGGAAATCCAAACAGTTGAAAACTTTTAAGGGGATAAAGATATGCCTATATCCACCGTTTTTAAGATTATGCGTGGTTGTGGATGGAGAGTCTTATCAGTGCCGCGAAAGGATTGTGTCTAAAAGTGACCACGAATGACCACTAGTGACCATCGATCAGGGGCACCCAACGAGAATATAGTTCAAAACTACTTAAACATGGCATTGTTAAACGTATTTAACTAACTCAAGAATCATAGAAGGTTCATCCCAATTAAAGAGGTCTCAAGCGGTCCAGGAATGGGCAAAAGCGGCGGAGGGGGGGGGTACTTGTGTTCCGCTGGACAAGGTTAACGCGGACTCTGGGAACGAGATTTGTCGGACTTGATTTAACTTTTACAATTTATCAGCATCATCCGAAGTTATTAGCTCTTTGTTCAATCTCAAGTGCTAAAAGCTTTGCAAAATTAAGCATTGTAAACTGTTAAAAGCACTTACTATTTTGGGCTGTTTTCTTTCATTCTCTGATGGGTTGTGTTTAAAGTAATAAATGTAAATATAATTATACAGTATTGCGCTGGGTGAAAATATACCTGGAGGCCGGATCGTATCTGCGCTTTGTTTTGCATGTTAAGTTTTAATACTTCTCAATGCATGATAAGGAACGGAAGATATTAACTGGTCGGAAATTTAAAAAGAAACAAATCAAACTCGGCCCTTTACTATACGATACTGGACGTTCTCTTCTTTTTTTCTTTTTTTTTTTTTTTTTCTTTTTTTTTTTAATTTACTTACATGTAATCAAATGCAAGTAAAATTAATGAGATTTTTGGATGAAGTTGGTTCAAAGAAGACTTCTTCTCTGGGATGTGGTTGGAATGCAAGCAATCCAAGTTAAAAGTTATCTTTTTTATACTACTTCTGCTATTGATCGCCGCGGGAAGTGTGCAAATTAACGTTGCTACAACCACTTGCAAAAATGTTGAGACACTCCCACAAAAAAACGACCTTTGTTGCTTCAAATCGCTCCCGGTCTCCATCTATATAATATTGTGATTGCTACATAAGTCCATTCAGTGACATCTGTAAACGTGAAGAAGGCTGGTATGGCCAGCCGAAATACTGTTATAAAAAAAAATACACGTTGTTATGAATCAGCTTTGCAGTTAAGTCTTTGGACTTCTCGTCTTTGGTTCTTTATATTTTGGCTGATTAGATCTCTTTTCTAGAGATCCTGAACGTTTACAACTAGCAGGATCTTTGTCCACGGTTTTTGCAGTTAATTTAATCCTTTATTTCTGTGAGATATAATACTGACCTCCCTCCTTCCTCCCATTCAAAGTTGTTCCTCCAAGTTTTGAATATGGTCTTGTATTGCTACCAACTTTGATAACATGCTGATAACGGTTGGAGGGGGATCACAAGCACAAGATCATGGACAGGCCATTTATGCCAAAATACGGTACTGTCTCAAGTACTTTTGCAACTGGTTGTAGCATGAAAACGGAAGATGAATCTAAAATAAACCGTTTTTATAAACAGAAGTTTCAAATTATATTTTTTGTTCACGACAATACAGACGTCAAGCCAAAACTACTAAAACAATGAAACAATTAATTTCTTTACTTTAAAAATTTTTCTCACTCTATATGCATGTAAAACTTGAGACCATGGACATTGCGGTTAACTATCAACATTAGAGAAATTAAACGGCAGACGTGAATTTTTACCACTTGACCAAGTTTCCCCCTTATTTTCCGCGTACTTTTTATTGCTTGTATAAAAAAAATAAGTAGTTTTATGCCAATTTTAACCGTAGGAATCGTTCTGGACTGTCTTTATCTGCTTATTTTCTATTCTGAGAAATTCTCAACATGAGTCTGACGTTTGCCGCAGTTTGCGGTAAACGTGAATCTTAATCTCTCTGATACAAAAAATATATACCCTGAGGACAGATCTCACTTACTCCCAGCTGTAGGTTATTTTTATCTTACTAAGTCAAGAATGAATAATTGATTAGTGAGGTTTTATAACTAGCTGCTACAAAGACACAGAATAGTATTCTCCGAGACCATTTGCAGGCTACGAAGCTCCGTGAGTATCAGATCAAGATAGAATTCAATTCAGATCATAGTAGAAATGACGGCTGAGTTCTCCTAAGAGTAGGTGGTAGTTTACCAATATAGAATTTCGAAATTTCAATGCATCTGTCAGCGGAGGTGAGAAATTAGTATGAGATGTTATTCGTCTTGCTGCTTGGCTAATCATAAAAAATTAAGGGGGCTCTTCTCCCTTTAGACAACTGACATTCAGTTTGGCGAGAGACAGGGATGGTAGCATCAGCCGGCTCTGCATCAGCATTAGCCTGTACACACACGTTGTTTATTTTTCTTTTCGTTCTTTTCGAAAACATCGGCGAGCTCGCGAGCTAAGCGAGCGCGCGAGAAACACTACCTCCATCCGCTGACGGTCCATAAATCCCCTGCGGTTTATACTTTATTTATCATCCGCGCTCGACGGACTTTAAAGAGAAAAATAGGTGACAAGTTCAAGAGGAAAAGCCACTCAAATTTTTGCATGCAAATTATTAACAAGTGATCATATCATTTTTCTCGTGTATTAAATTTGGGATAAATCAGCACTCGCAAATTTTTCAAAGACCACAAATTTGGTTTTCCTTTGAATAATTTAGTTGTGCTGATTTATCCCAAACTGTACTCGAAATCAAAATAATTTCCTAACTTCACTTGTCACAATTTGATTACGCATTATCCGCTAACGAGCATATAATAAGAAGAAAAATAGATATAAAATTTATTACAAAACAAACAATCTTTTTATAAATAGCGATCACATCCAACACACTGCCTACTACATAACAACTTTACCCTCGCGGCAGGTTCAGTCTCGAAAAGACTGGGTGGTAATTAGCCCTCTAGCTACCTCAGTGATAGCTTTAGTTACTAATTGGCGATACGTGGCAAGTGGTATTTAGCATAAATTGCAGACTATTATTTCCAAGAAAAGCTGTTCTTATTGTGTCATCTTAGTTTGCAGAAGTTGTCGGGCAAAGACCAGACCTTCTTGTCATGTCCCATCTAAACGGCAGCGAGTACCAAACAGTCTTGAACCTGTCTTCGACCCCAAACGAGACTTGCGTAAACTCTGCGGAGAGTTCGACGCTAGCCCAATGTATTAAAACATTCGCATATTCTCTGATTATGTTCTTGTCGCTGTTTGGGAACTTAGCTGTTATCGCGATTGTATCAAAGAACAATCAAATGTGGACAACAACGAATTTTCTGATTGCTAATATGGCTGCATCAGATTTAATGATCACTGCGTTTGCATTACCACGAGAAGTAGCGGAAGTCTTCATCGGCCCTAGAAGATGGCTGTTAAAAGGAATAGTGGGACAGATTCTTTGTAAGCTGGTTTTCTTCCTTCAAGACCTTTCCACCGCAGTATCCATGCACAGCCTTGTGGTTATAGCCATCGACAGGTATCGAGGGATAGTTTTTCCTTTCCGCTCTCCTGTTATTACAACCAAGAATTGCAAGGTAATAATTCCCATAATTTGGGTGGTGGCCATGGGTTTACACGGGATGTATTTCTATACCTTGCAACTGACGAAGAGCGAAAGCAAGTGGTACTGCACGATAAGCTGGGCACCCAAGTTTGAGGAAAAGACACAAGTGATATATTTTACTTTTCTTTCGGTCGTGATAATTTTTTTACCTCTCTGTGTGATTCTCACGTTGTACACACTCATCCTGATAGAACTAAGGAAAAGAAAGGTATCTAAAAACAACGCATTAGAATTGAGAAGCCGACGGCGCAAAGAAGACACAGCCATCATGAAAAGGATTCTGATTTTAGTTCTTCTTTTCATTTTGTGCATAACTCCAGTTATCGTCTCGGGACTTGTCTTTCATTTCATATGGGACTCACGCCTTCCTTGTGACATGGAACATCTTTTTCCTGTTACAAAGTTTGTTTTTTATTCAAACGCATCGCTAAACCCGTGGGTTTACATTGTTTTAAGTGAGAGATATCGCCAGGGAATGAAAGAATTAGCCAAAAATTTTACTTGCAAAGATAAAATCCAGCTGAAACGAACGAGTAATCTGTCATTAAGGAAGATCGATAAGAAACCCAAATCTCCTGTAAATTTTGTAAGGATCAGCAGTTTGTAAATCTGAAAAGGGAAGTTTCCTGAGGTTGTAAACGGGTGTGATCACCAGATGAAGTAATACAAAAGACACCAAACAATACGCACACCAATATATCAAGGGCACTCAACGACGGTTTCCCCCTAAATACATTGAAAACACTTTTTAGGCTGTCCAGAGTACTTTTAGATACCTTACTTGCATAAAAATTCGCGTCGTACTCATTTTCGCTCAGCTTTAAATTCGCGCCATTTAATTTCGCGCACCTTGTTAAGACTTATTCGCGCAGCTTTAAATTCGCGCAAGTAATATTCCGTGTTCGTTCTTTTTGGTTTGTTTAATAGAGCATTTATAATGAGTGTTTTTTATCAACAAATACGACAACATTTGTCAAAACTTAATCAAAGACCGATTAAGTGGCCTTAAAAAAAAGCCCTCAAAATTATGTAAATTATGTAATGAGAGCAAAATTCAACTTAGAACATATGTCAAATGTGTTTCAAATGTGTATATGCGTTAATAAATCAACTGATTTGCATTAGTAAGAATCGGCAATGTTTTTCGTGCGGATTTTAATTCGCGCAGTACTAAAATTGGCGCACCCAGCACTGCGTGAATTCTAGAGTACACTGCGATTATTAATACAAGTAAGGTATCTAGAGATGTATTCTAAGCGGCGCTATAAAATTTGTATCTGTTCGGTCATCCTAGCGGAAGTTGAGTCTTTCAGTGGGTTCAGCATTATTTTCCCCAAAATTTTACATGCAATTTCACGTTTTACGAAAGTGAGAATTTTTCTATTTCCTCTCTCCGTTACATTTTTGAATCCGAAAATTTTAGGTTTTCTTTCTTCTACGAAAAATAGCCCAACATGGGTAGTGAGAAGTGAAAAAATAAAGTTCAGTCAATCGTAGGAAATTTATTAGACAGACCTCGAAAATTATATTGTACATGAATGGAAAGGGCATCTAGAAATTTTCAGGGGCACCCAACGAGAATATAGTTCAAAACCACTTAAACACAGCATTGTTAAACGTATTTTAGTATTTGAACGGTAGATATAGGCATATTTTTATCCCCTAGAAGTTTTTCATCTGTTCGGATATCGTAGCTGTAAGTCTAGTCATCCAAAAATTGTAGGGATCAAAACTGACCTTTTCAAAAATTTCAGCCAGAAAAAAAGCTCCCGAAAACTCTAGTTGACCTTTTTAGGGTAAAAATCCGTTAAAAATGGGCAATTATACCATTTTTTTGGTGTTCGACCCTTCAGGGTGGTTCTTAATTTCGACCCGTTTATTGAATAAAAAATATGGAGCACCTCCTTCTTGTAATAATAAGGCTTTTACGAATTGCAGAAGATTTCTACTTCAAATAAAAAATGTATAGAAAATCTTTTGTGTTGTCTATTTAGATATAAAATGGCGAGACTCTCCGTAGTGCAGATTGTCTATTCCGGAAAAAGCTGAAACGTTCGCGTGAACTAAAACAACCAAGTTTATGTAACAAGCAATAACCTAACTCATATATAAAATCTCAAGGATGCGTCAATTTTGAGGAGACTGGGACAGCGCTCGGTTAAAGAGAGCACCAAATTGTTTGGCAGAGTCTCGCGCTGATGTCGAACTCCGAGGTAACGCAACCCTTGACATTGTTCAGCGATCTGACAAAGCACATCCTCAACCGCAGTGGGAACACAATCCTGGTAATCAAAAAAGGTCAAATTCGTGCAGTGTGTTGCGACAATATTTAACATGGCTGCTGTTCCACGCCCTTTCCGCACCAAACCTATTTCCAGGCCTTCTAGATCAGGCAGCTTACTCAAAAATTGCTGCATGCCATCATTTGTAATTTGCTTGGTGTTTCGTAGATTGATGTGCTTTAAACTAGAGCAGAAGTTTGCGAGTGAGATTAAACCAGTGTCGCTCACTTTTTTGCATCCTTCGATGTTTAGATACGTTAGGTAACGACACTGTTGGGAAATTTCCACAAGAACACCGTCAGTGACCCATACGCAGCCGCTAACGTCCAGCTCGCAAAGCATCTTTGAGCGGCGCACCACGAAACCAAGACCTCGGTTTAGTATCATCGGACACTTGGATAAGCCGAGGACTTCTATATAAGGGCAATGTCGTGCGATCATTTCTATTCCGGTGCTTGTCACACGGTTACTATTCGAGATGTAGAGTTTGCGAAGTTTTGGGCACTGGCGCGCTATGTGAAATAAGCTTATGTTTGTAATACGAGAGCAAGTGGGTCCTGATAAGTCTATATGCGCGATTGACGACGAGCTGACACGTGAAACTAAACAAATAACAGTGATGTCACGAATACGCTTCCGCTTACAAAGGGAGAAATCAATGCTTCTCCAAAAATTAGCGTCCAGGCTCACTCGGTACCACTGTTTACAGACTCTTGACATGCGCGATAGATCTTCCATGTCCAGATGCGTGAAAATTCTCAGTAGAAGAGCGTCTGGCAAATAACACCATTTTTCCTCTGTGTATTTTTGTGAAATATCTGGCAAGCTGTTAAAAAAAGACATTCGTTAAAATATAATTCAGCAACATGTTTCATGTGGAACGAAAAGGGGAAATTACCCAGTATCTTCACCTGCTCACTACGCTTTGCGTTTTCTTTAGTGTACAATAATCTTGTCAAAACATAGAATAAAAACTTCACATCTTTCCGCTTTCTAACATTAGTTGATGTGAACGCTGAACAAGCAAAACTGTACTATTTTCCACCGCCAAAAAGCAGAACTTTTTTGTCAGAAAATGGTAAAATCAGGTACGGTTGTCCAAACATCCGTTCAATAAACCACCATGATTAGTGTGGTTGATATAACATGTGTTATGAATAAAAATAATGAAGTTTATCTTCACTCGGTATTTCTGTAGTTTCCTGGGCTATTCTTCATCGAGCCGCATTCATTCTGCGCAACTCGTTTTGGGCAAAACGTTGAGGAGTCGCTGAGCTAACTTCAACATGTGCATGTCGCTGCAAACGGAAAATGTTTCTTACACTTTTAGATGTTTCAAGTGAGATCTATTAATAGTTAAGGTAATCGTTCTGGAACATTTTCATCTGAATCTTGACTGATACACCCTAATCTTTATACAGTTAAAAACACAACTCCTCCCTGTCATCGGTGGAAACTAACTAAAATGACGTCTTGAAGTCATTTAGTCATGCAAATGTTTTTTTAGCCATTGTCCAGATGTACTACTGTAAATTACGCTTTTCTTGTAAATTCATTACCAGCAGAAATATTCATGAATATCAGCTGAGATACTGCCCTTCTGAAAAACATTTTCACCGATGAAAGTTCTTTTTAAACTTGGCCAAGAAGCTAATGAAAAGAAATGACAAATAGTCCGATATCAGTGAATATCCCCCTAAACGCAAAATGCTAATGAAATATTACTTTTGTCCGACCTGTTAGACAGACATCCGCAAATCATAAGAATATCCTACAATATAAACAACAGGTTGTTTGTTAATTTACTATTATTGTGTTGTCTATATATTGTCCTTGTCTGTGTAAGTACTCGCGAATTATTCAGTTGGTAAGTTCCAGTGGTTTTAATATATCAGAGTTGAAACGGAAGATTTTTCGTTACTTGAGAAAAGCAAAAATAACTCGCTTTGTTTATAACATCTATATGATGAAGTCAGAAAGTGCTACATCGAAAGGTCCTTCTTCGTTTCGATCCCACTTCAACAAAGTGGTTCCTTCTTCTTCCTTAGTGTAACGAAATAAGTCTGTTTCCGGCCGAACAAAATTTCGTTCGTTTACTGTATCGCTTCGTTTTCAAGTTTTTATATTTCCGAATGATGTATTTATCACTTTAGCCCTGCTTTACCATTTTTAGTTTTCGTTTACATATTCCCGTTTATGACAGCGTTACATTTGTCTCAAGATATTCTATTCCGGTCATTAAGAACAACATAAGTTTCGGACTGCCGCTTTGCTGCATCGGCAATTTATAAAATTTGCGCACTTCTTTAAATTATATCTCATTACCTTTTTTCTCCTGGCGAATTCTCCCTTTTTAAAAACGTAAAATAACGGAGTTTTGTCGAACGCTTGGGGGCAGAAAAACTGGATCCCATATCTGATAAAATTGTCGTCCAGGAAACTTGTCTTGCTAACGCTAGGGAACGCTGTGTTCTTCGGCCGCAACTGGTCTTTTCGTCCTTTGTGTATCTTTTAGATCCAACACTGGCTACGATTGGTTAAATTCTAAATTGTTTTTGTTAATTGCAAGCGTGAAGAGTATTTAGCTAGTCACGTGGTCTAACAGTTTCCATAGCAACACAGTGGGTACACGCATGTAATGCGGCTAGCGAAAGCAAATAAGCAGTGTAAGAAACTTCACTGTTGAGAAATTCTCACCCACCGGTATTTAAGTTAGCGTCACTTTTGGATTTTATCGTATCATTTTAATTAAATGCAGTCTACAATACGAGTACTGAAATTTTAATTTTCGTCTTTGGCATTGAAAGAGATTGACTTTGGGAAAGGTAACTCAAATAGTAAACCTCAGAGAAACCACCCCTCAAAATTATTGAATTGTTGGTAGAATTTGCGTCATTTTGTTGCTTGAAGAACGATTAACTTAGCCACAAACAACCTGTAGCGGGAATGTTGGCTTGTCACCTGTCCACTATATCAGTTATTAGCATTTTGATTAGCAAATGAACGACTTCAAAGAAAATGTTTATTCATTTGATGCTGCATGTGTAACTTATTTTCTATATTGATTTCTTTGTGTCCTCGCGTCGGGCGGACGTTTTGAACTTCAAGACGTCTGTTTGTTCAAAGATACCTTATACAGGCCCAGGGGAGAAGCAATTATGAGGGGATGGCTTTCTGATCGAAACAAGAAACAAATTCATCTGACGGAGTGGAGAGTTTTCCTATCTGGGTATGTACA